CGTATGAAATACGATAACATCGTTATCAAACAAAAGGCGATGTCGTGAAAGTACCGCAAACGTGATACAAGGCACTGCGTGTTTTAGGTTTAGGCATGAATATGATAAGGTTTTTGTACTACATGTTCACCACCACCATCACACCACCACCACCACCACCACCACCACCATCATCATCATCATCATCATCATCATCATCATCATCGTCACCATCATCCCCTCCTCTTTCTCCTCCTCCTCCTCCTCCTCCTCCTCCTCATCATCCTCATCATCATCATCATCATCATCATCATCATCATCATCATCATCACCACCATCACCATCACTATCCTCCTCCTCCTCCTCCTCCTCCTCCTCCTCCTCCTCCTCATCATCATCATCATCATCATCATCATCATCATCACCATCACCACCATCACCATCACTATCCTCCTCCTCAATAACATATCATCATAAATCCATCATCATCATCATCATCATCATCATCATCATCATCATCACTACCCTCCTCCTCCTCCTCCTCCTCCTCCTCCTCATCATCATCATCATCATCACTACTCTCCTCCTCATCATCATCTAAATATATCAAATGACTTACTGTAAAATGACGAGTTCACGGGTCTGGAATTTTCTGTTTTTTTAAAGGAACATTATATTTCGCTGGTAATTGAGTTCGTACATGAACATTACATCCACTGACGTCAAAACTGCATAGTGTCTCTTTAGCTGTTTTATAATTCAAATGAATTCGCGGACAAAAATATAATTTTATATAACATCTACATCTTCACAGTTTTGGTTATGTCAAAATTAAGAATATGTATGATTTACATAAAATGACAAAGATTAGGATAAACTGACTTGTTTGTAGAAGGTTTGTAAATAAATTTCTAAACACAAAATGTTTCGTGTTCCGTTTCATGTTGAATGTCCAAAACTAACATCTTGTATCACGTTTCAGTTAAAATCAATCAAGATGTATCGATCCATGTGCTTTCCGACCCAGTAACACTGATTGCGATTTTCTTGGTAACTGATTTCTACTGGGCCCTGTAGAATATCAAATTGCCACTGATACGTTACACATACTACTGGGTTAAAAGAATCGATTACCCTGATATGTCTCATCATATACTTACAAATGTTTATTGCAACCGTTATCCATAACATTTAAACATCGTATGTTCTCAAACAATACATGTTTTACAAAATATATAAAACGTTCATTATTTCCATAGTCTGTAACACGATGATGATTTTTATAGGTAGAGAACATTTGTCTCAAACCAAATCTCAAATAGCTCCAAATTCCTCTGCATTCCGAAAAATATTATCAGCATGCTACAAATAAATGTTTCTATAATTCATTAGGAAATATTTCCTCAGTATGTTATATAGAATATTTCAAGTTTTGTTATACAGTAAATATTTCATTTATGGTTAATACTTAAAACAAAACCCTAGTCAAAACACGATATGCTTTAACAGACTATAATATCGCTAATTCCACGTTATTTGTCATTGCACACATCGATGGAACTCGAAATACCTGTTCCATCACCTTTGTCTTATTTGCAAACGGAGCCAACGGAACTGTGAAAAGACATAACGCTTTGTATATTTACAGATGTTTTTGCTGTGACTTGATATAATGTAAACATGGATTCTTAAAGTTTAAAAGTAAAGGTTTTCGTTTCATTTTGAATGTCCAAAACCACCATCTTGTTTCACGTTTCAAGGGAAATCAATAAAGTTATATCGAGACAAAACATAACGCTTTGTATATTTACAGATGTTTTTGCTGTGACTTGATATAATGCAAACATGGATATTTACATATGTTTTTGCAGGAATTTAAAAAGTTTAAAGGTAAATATTTTCGTTGTGACATGTATTTTGTGAATGGCAATGAATAACACGCAGACGTTTTAAAGGCATGACAAATCTAATGATGATTTATAATACTCCAGTTTGCACGTCTACACTTTGGTACAGTTTTTTGCCCATATTTTTGAAGTGGTTGTATGAATTAAACGTATCGTCAAAGGCTTGATAATTTGTATCAAGAATAGTTCAATCAAAATGTACACAAGACGATACAGTTTCCGAATGGTCTTTGTTCAGTTCACGTTTGTGCTTAACACTGGAAACATTGGTCAATTGACTAGGCGCAGTCCATTTATGACAAAAATCTATTCTTTTAACATTTCCGTCACAATGATGAAGTATTATCATATGTTTGTTTAAGTGGTAAAATGAGACGACACTGTGGGGTATTGTATAACTAGCAGCAAGGTTAGGTCAACTGGGAATCGATTGAAAAATAAAATTTAGTTTTGTATTGTTTGGAATACATTGAAGAACAAAAGAAATTGATTGAACGTGGTTTTGAAAGAGATGAATCCTGATTATTGTTTTAAAGTGAAACAATGTATATGGTTAACAGCTCAGGTATCGACTGGGCTTGTCAAGGTGAATCAGTGTAGTTAACTTCTCGATCAATCAGTATGTATGGTCATTGACAACGCAAAACAAACAACGCTTTTCGAGGATATGTAAAAAAAAAAGACTGTTGCTTGTACGTTTAGCATCTTATTACGAATGACAAAATCAAATTAATACTTATTTAAATAAACGCTCATTCATTACGCTACAATATACAAAACAATTTACAACATGTCAACATAATCATAATCTTAACTCAAATTCAATAAAACTAGGGCAAAATATGAACAAATGAAAGGCTTACATTGCGTTTTCTAGGAAGCATAACACGCGTCACCCTCCTTTGGCCATATTACAGACAAAACATCCCATCAACACTTAGGACTAAGTTTTACAAATGATGCATTTTGAAGATCACATATTCAGAATATTTATGGAAAAGCCTACAATAGACTCAATATTATCCGTATTATTAAAACTTAAGTCAACCGATAATCATTAATTACCATTTACACTTCATTTATTAGGCCAATTCTTGAATATGCTGACACAGTATGAAATTATTGCACACAACAGTTAAAACATTCACTTGAATCAGTTCAGTCAGAAGCTGCTAGGATCAAAACAAGCTTTCGATCAGGACCAACACACATAACAAACTTTATACAGAACTGGGTTTTGCCTAATATTCAATCATTTGACCATACCATCTGTCAATACAATTCGTTTAAATGAAGGTTACAATAAACAAGAAAATAGCAACATGTCTTCATAATCCAAACTCAAATTCAATAAAACTAGAGCAGCGGAGATCGCTGAAAAAGTGCTAGGATGATATGGTCAGGCGTTTCGGAAGAATAAGCGCCTTCTGCTTCATTGACGACACCCACCATGTAATCCTTGGTAAATCCAAGTAATGTCACTTTCTACAACTTAAAATTATAGTATCATCAAATAAAACGTACAGACATGTCTGATATGTATACACTGTACTGTACTTACCGTCAGAAATAACGATTTATTCTAAAACTTATCAAGCGTTTTCTAAATGTCATTGTAATCAATATAATTTTTGCCAAAAAGGCACTTTGCAATTTTATATGCTACACTTACATTCTGAAAATATCATACAGCACCTTATAGCTATAACTCTGACTTTACAAACATATCATTTTGCATATGAAGCGTGACAAATACATTTAGAAACACTTACTCATTTTATAAACGTAACGCATACCAATATGCATAATGATATGATGAGCTGGAATAAAGAAAACAGGAAATATGTCGGGCGCTCGAGCTAAATATCTTATAAGAGGTCTTTCATAAACTTTTCTTTTCAGTTCAAAGACATTAGGAAAGAAAAGATGATCGCTGATATGCGTTTACCATAGGCCTCATCAAGAAAACCTGCCAGAAAGCGTTTGGCATGGCTTTGTTGGAGCTTCATTTGGGCATACATATAATGATAAACTAACAATTGATCAGTCACAATATCAATAATTATCCACGGGTTACTATTGGAATAATGTATTAATGTGTTTATGATATATTGGCTTGTGATGAACTAGTTCACTTACAGTATCAAGGAACATAACCAAACTGGTTCTAATGTATTGTATAGAGAAGGGCGTCCCTATTCCGCAACACTTTATTAATGCCAACAACCAGTTTTAACCTTTTAATAGCAAGATAAATTAATCGAGCTGAAACTGTTCCAGAAGTCGTGCAATACCCAGCATATACCGACCGATCAACATCAGAGAGCTTGTATTTCGCCTCCGCGGTCAGACAGCTGTAGAGATCAATGAAGATGGAGACAAAAGATACGGTCGAACCATAACTAGTATAAAATTCTTTACCTTAGAAATAATAACTATTGTTGGTTGGAATCGATAGTTTATACGTACGATGAAAACAAAAACCATTTGACGTCACGAAGATATTTTTCTTATAATCGAATCCATTGTTTTGTCATGATTCCAATTACTAATCGAGGCATTAAGACATATACGGTGCCTAATGTCAATGTGGATTATTTTGTTTACGGCCTTAAGATAATGACTTTCTTCGGAAACCAATTATAAAGTCACGTGATTTGGATACCTGGTTTGTTAATTGATTAGTTTGAATTTAAGAGGGCGGTGATTATCAAATACAATAATTTCTAACACTTTCTAGCATTGAAGTTTCTGTCGACCGTAGAGCTTAGCTATATATCAAAGAGGACACCACAAATGGCTCTACTAGGCGATATATACAATGAACAGCTGCCAAGTATCTAAACAAATAGTTTTTAAAAAAATCCGATATCAGTTGTTGGAACACAATCAGGCTGTCATTGTCATTCCGGAAATCGATGTCGTATCATCTTTTTTTTTTTTTTTTTAGTTTTCTAGGATTTCCGTTTAAATACTTCTGTTGTTATTTTACCCTCGTTTGATTGATAGTACACATGCTTACATGTCGATATATTCTTTTAATGAGCACATAAATGTGATTTATGAGTTATATATATATATATATATGTTTCATTAAATGTAGAATTTATGAAAATGATGGACCAAGAAATAGCACTGCGGGAACTACAAGATGAGCGAACGTTCAAAAAAGGTACGTTGATGTATTTACGTCAGTAATTAAGTAAAATTAACAAAGTTAGCAGTAGTATTGAGAGAGAGAGAGAGAGAGAGAGAGAGAGAGAGAGAGAGAGAGAGAGAGAGAGAGGGGGGGGGTGGGAGAGAGAGAGGGGGGGGGGTCAGTAAAATTGTAAATCTACATTCTTTTCATTTAAAAAGAACAAGAAATAAAAAGTACTCACCATTAACTGCGAAAATATAATTTGCAGAGACTGAGCATGTCTTCTCGAGTGATAGGTAGATGCGTAAAAACTGGAATGGTTAGGTGGTTGTTTTAAAGTGGTTACCTTCAGGTTACATCTAATTCATAATGAAATACTTGATATAGTCTTAAGAAAGAATTGTAATTATTTGAATTAATTATTTGTCATGTTGGCCAATTTTCTTTCCGTAGTAATGAAAAAACTTTTCCGACAATTGGACACCAATGGTAACGGAAGTCTTGGAGTAACGGAAGTTATGACAGCTGCGCGCATGCTTAAAATGAAGCCATCAAGGGAGGAAGCTATGGCTATGATAAAGAAAGTTGACAAAAATAGTAAGTGCTGTATTCTATCAATGTGTTTGACACTTTAAAAGGCACAGTGGGAATGAAATATACCTGAAGCTATTTTCTGTCTCAGAATATCGTGTAATCTCGATAACTTCTAAACCATTAAATGTATGTAAATATGTATACTACGAATGGAAACAGCAAACATTTTATCATTGAAACCCTTATTTATTAGAATCGTGTATTCTAAATACTTGAGATATCTAGGTTTCTGTACTTACCAATGGCTAGCGAAGCGCCGTTCTTCAGCCATATTTGCTTATAATAACAAATTACATGTTCATCATACCAATCATGATGGAGCCCCTGATATTTAGCTTTATTTATTCGTGAAATTAACTTTCTACGAAAAAGTATTTAAAAGAAAACCGCAAAAATTAACACCCGTGAAAATATATGATTTTACAGTATAGAAATCTTAAATAAACGCCAACCAAATCATACGAAATCACACACTCATCATGCCAAACACGTTGGATCCCCTGAATGTATCTACTAATATATATTTTTAAAGTTAGCATATGATTTCATGGATAAAGCGTACCCGCAAAACGAAAGAAAATATATTGCCCACGAAAACATAATTTATATTTATATCCCATCAATGTTTACCTGAGTTACATGATTTTTCTGGCACATGACAGTATTATCAATTATTTGCTTCTCGAAGATATGTAAAAGAAATGTATCGCTTAATCAGAAACAGGATGTTTAGTTAATGAGATAACATGTGTCCGCATAATTTTAGTTAAACATTAATATTTATTGCTTATTTGTGTTATTTGTGTAGCCTCAAATGTATTGTTACACCGACAGTGACTAATTAGTTTATGGGCAAATTAGTTTAGATTTGTTGATTTCATTCATAATTTGTCGTGCTACCTGTAAATGATTGATTCCTTTTCCCCTGGAACTCGGACATTACAATGGGCTAATCATCAATAAATGCCACGTTTATATTTTTAATCCACAGGGGATGGATGTATAAGTTACCGGGAGTTTGAAACCATGATGGAGGAGTACGTTTCGCTGCTAGACTTCCAAGACCGGGAACTGAGACAGGCCTTTTGTACCTTTGATCGAGATGGGAATGGTTACCTGGATAAAGGTGAACTAAAACAGGTCCTCAAGGGTATGGGAGAGAAAATGTCTGACCAAGAGGCGGAAGAAGTTTTCAGATTGGTTGACGTCAACAGAGACGGGAAAATATCCATAGATGGTAGGAACATTAGATTTAATATAAGTCACATGATCAACAATTGATGAATTGATATCTGAAAAGATATGATGCAGTATATAATTCACATGTTATTCGGCTAAGAGGCATCGATATATTTTGTCTTATCACATATATATTTATGATATCATAAGACAATTTATAAGTATTAAATGTTATGGCTGATGGTTTCGTTTTTGTTTACCTTCCTTTTTGAGAACGTGGCACTACTTACTTGGATTGATCAAAATTTATATGACGGTTGTCATCTATGAGACAGAAAACAATTTCTCTTCCAGAACACCTGGTCTTATTCTCGTGACACATATTCAGGAGTCTCGGTGTAAATCTTGATTCTGTTCATATTTTGCCTTTGTTTTATCTGTGTTTGAATATCTTATTATGTCAGTATTTTCTTCGCTTTTTCTTTTAAGGTCCTCTATTTTCCTTTTCATTAATATGAATACATGTTTGTGTATTTTCCAGAATTCGTGAGAGCACTTTCAGCCGAACCACACACGTGATACATATATCAACTTATTTCAACTTCCTCAACCTCCGAACAGTAATATGTACGACATATGTATGTATTTAATTAACCTGAATGATCAGATGAGCGCTATATCTATGGGATGACGTGCGGTTCTTATTTACCATGTAATGATGTTTGTTTATGTTGATTGAAAAGGTTTTCCATGCTAATGCATTCTGGTGAAAGATACATACAATCGCAGATTTTTCCGAATTTTGAGGAATTTTTATTGTTTCATTAGACGATTGGAATTCAAAATTTTCTTTGACTTTCATATTATAATCTCACATATTTCAATTTTGAGAAATGATTTCATTTTTAAATATACTTGAGTAATGCGACCGCTGCTAAATGCTAGGATGCCTATACTTGTGTATATTTTTCGGATATTATTTCGGCTATAGTAATACAGCTCTAGGAGGAAGTATGCTGTTGTTTTGTCTTCACGTTACCTAAGCCCGTTACAATATCTGTACAAACCCATACAAATTCCATATAAATAACAGTTGAAGTACTTAGCCAGCATACTTTGACAGATATGATGTAACTACACTTTCATCATGTGCATGTTTCATTTGATCAGTTCACAGTCGATTGCTATCACTCCAGGATGTTAAAGATGGGTTAATAAGTAAAGGCGTTGATAGTATGTAAATAATTTTAGACAATGCTCCATGATTCAACACATAAAAAATTTTCACTGTTATTGCTCACGGCTACAATTTTTAAACCATAAGGATATGTCACCTGCAGACTAACAACTAATTGTCATTGTTTAGATCATTGTGCCCCATATTAGAGAGAAAATGTTATCTCTTTGAGACAAGAAGTATCATCGTTATTAGTGTTTATATATAAGCATCAATGTCTCGAAACGTGAACTTAGTGAACTCTTTCTTCGTATTAATGATATGATTTATTGTTTGGATCAACATTCAAATATAAACAGAGATCTCCATTTCACAATTAATGAAGAGTTATATTATCAGAATTATTAATAAAATACAAATGACCTATAAAGGTAATTTATCAAATGTACGTAAGGGATCTTCATATATAATAACCATTCCAATTAGGGCAATGATTAACAGAAAAAGCCAAATAAGACCGGCTCCTACTCCCACCGCCGCGATAGCTCTGTGTTGACCAACGTAACCTAGGTGAAGGTCTGTGGTGCATGGTTCGATACTCCCAACCTGTGACAGCTTGTGTTTCTCGTGAAGATAAAAACAAACCGTTCTTAGCTGACATGGTGTTGTGAAGGTCTGTGGTGCATCCCGACGGCATGCGACGGACTCCCGTATGTTGCTAATTGAGGTAGCCATCACAGAGTACCTGCCTCAAACTGAAGCTGGTTGTTCAGAGGGCGATTACATTCAGTGAATAAACCATTCTATGAAGGTGTTTTAAGCTGGACTTATTAGAAGTCTGACTGCAAAATGATCACTGAAGTTACAAAATGTTTTACGAGAAATTAAAGTCTTGCTATGAAATATTGTTAATTTTAGATAAGATTGTGTCATTGTGTTACATCCATGACTATTATTGCAAAAGTGATTGCTAAATTACTACTACTTTCACATTTTTATCTCATGTTTACCATGTTTTCTGCGAATATATATCCATGAGATTTTTTCGCGTAGATCATACTAAATGTGTACTGTAAGCTATCGTGACATCACACAATATGACGTAGAAAAGGTGACAATAGAGATGTAGAGTCAAACTGATTTTCAGGTTGACCTTGGATGTCCGTCATAAAAACGATCTTAAATTCGTTTAACTTTAACTGGAAACGACTTTACGATCTTACGTATATTATGCGATATGATATACATATAGACATTATAGTGTTTAATGCTTAAAAAATAAAAAAACTTTATCTATTTGTTTTTTGTTAATCGTATATAGATGGTCACACTTAAAGTTCAAATAGAGGTCGGATGACCTTATTTTAGTAGCAAACTATATTCAAATGGTCTTTATTATTCCTACATTTGATATGCAATGTCTTCATGAACCGTCTTTTTCGTAAGGCTTCATTAGGTAATTGATTCTTCAGCTCTTACGGCAAGTTTACAATGGTTTTCCAGTATGCTGTATTTACATACCAAACTTAACAACTTTACCATAGATTGAATACTTTGCAGATTTCATTATGGCCGAAGTGTCATTGAAGAGGCAGACAACACTTACTCTTCTGGCACAGCTAGTATTTTTCAGTTGGTAGTGTAATGCTTTCTATTATACATACTTCACTCTCGTTTCATCGAATTTGAGTTGGATTAAGATTGCTGATATGTTCGTATGTTATGTTTTTTTCGTTAAAGTTGCCAGCTGTTTTGTACTTCCAGGGCTCGTCAGTGAAGCTAACTGCCTAATTTTTTGAAATCTAGAAGGCGACTGAGGAAAATTCGAAGTGATCGAGGGGGTAGGAGGGTTGTTACAGCAGCCACATAATTTTCATATGTATCATAACTTTAGAACATCGTCAAGTACATGTGTGTATTCTGAACGGTGCTACTATGTGAATGCAATGAAATGTGGCGTGCAAGTTACGGCAAACCTCGGGGACTTAAAATTCACCAGAAGAGTCTTCCAACTGCTATCTCAAAGATTGTACAAGGGAATAAGAAAATAATTCAGAGCTAAAAGTTATTGAAGAGATCAGTTTACAATAACCTGTAACCACCAGTCTGTGGTCTTTTTTCATGGGCCTTCGTGTAAATCTTTGAATTTGAATTAAGATTATGTTGACATATCGATTTCTGTAACATTTAGTGTAATAAGGATAACAAAGATTCAACTCATTGACCGAAATTACTGTATTTGCACGATTTTACACATCTTTCAGCGATAGTTTTGCATACACTGGCAAAGTCCATCTAGGCAATGGTATGATTCGTGTGGGCTATGGTGATGTCCAGGTCCGTCGCGGTCCATGTGACATGCAGTCATATTATAGGCATTGCAGTCGGTTTTTTGCGTACAGGCTAGAGAAATAGACGAAATCCAACAAAGAGCAAATTTCATTAAGTTAGATTCAACATCGGCTAACATGAATAATTATCCTATTGAGTATCGAGTACTACTACAGTAAAATATGTTCCCTTGGTACCAGACTCGGAAATGCTTTATGCTGTAATCATTTATGTCAGATGGTTATATTAATAGATTACGATAATTCAATATCAAAGGAAATCAAAATAAAAACTGATGATAATCGAAACTGAAACGTAAGCGTAATTTGCAACTTGTTATTTCAAAGCTCACTATCTGTGGAAAAACGGGAACCATATCTCTGGAAGAAGGAACTCTCGCATAATGTTCCAAATTGAAACGGTCATAACTCTATGAATTATAAAAATATTTACTTCTATAGTCTGCTCTCCTGCAAAAAATATCATTCTTTATAGAAATGAACGTAATGTCAATTACCTGAAAGCAGCAACTCAACTGATGGGTTGTTATAGCATTGTTTTACATTTATGTGAGGTTTTATAATACTTGATTGTGTACAAACACTTATACGACTAGATTCCTCTGTGAAATGGCAGACTTAAAGATCTGTAACTTAATTATACTTTTTATTTCCTTATTGAGGCACATACCTAAATTCTGCTCATTATCAACATGGACACAAAATATTAAACATCTCTATCAGAAATATATCAATGAACAAAAACTATACAAATTCATAAAATTTCAAAGGGTGATAACTCTCGAATTTCAGCTTATTAGTATACACATTTGACAACAAGACTGTATCTTTAAAGATCCAAGTTAATTCTGCCTAAATTACAGTATAATTCATTCAATTTATTTCAGCTTCTTATCAAAATCGAGCGATTATTCATCATTCGGAGTAAGCTATTTTGACGAATATTTGACAACAATGTCTGATATATTACGTTAGCATCGTTATGTTGATGAGGATAGTTGATCTCATCTCATCCCTTATTTTGTAAAAAAAATTTTTTTCACTGCCTTTGTGATGCCACCAACGAATGACAAATTTCGAACTTTTTTGCTGCTATTTATATATACAGAAAATATTTTACAACAGCTGTTTATATAATTCTGTCTATACTGTTTCTCTGACGTCTCCCCTGGATGCATTGGAGGATTTTATGACGTCATTAACATCTGTAGACTATGGCGTTATCCTTACTTTGTATACTATATTCGGTATTGCGATATACTTTCAATGTATTACAAAATCCTTCGAAATAGGTTGTTTTGAATAACTGTCTAATTTTACGTCACCCAATTAAATGAATCAACGATATGATATAACTAGTGTTTGTCCTTTTTGTAGCTAACACATCATTATTATCTATTTATAGTTTGTTTCATTTTTAAATACCATGTTTCTTTTTTCACGATTTTTCGTCACAGCATTTATAGTTTTGAACAACAGCGCCCAAAGGCGGTCCTATCTGTTTGTCCGTCTCTTTTCATTAAAAAGTGAGAATACTTACGCATTCTGTTAACTGTGCAAGTGCATTCATTGTGTTTACATTCAAGGACAAGTCCGCCCGAACACATTGTATATTGACAAAGGGCTGTTGAGTCGTGTTCACAATTTTCCGAAACAGCTAAAACTAAAGGAAAACAAACATAACAAAAAGATTTTAATGCACAAGGATTTAAAATGTTTAATAAACAAGATATGCAGTTTATATTATGGCCTCTTAACGTTACTACTGAAAACATTTTCTTTCAATACACGATAAAATGTTTGAAAAGCAGTATACAAAATAGTACAGATTTCATTTGTGTACTTGTATAATCATATTTACCTCAGTCACCTACTAAGCCTTTCTGCATGTAACACGAAGAGAAACTATTGTTTGATCACGAAAACAGTCATTCGCTACCATTTGGCACTATTTTTCATGATATTCATCGAAAGCCTCGCGCTGACCAGTAAGATGTCAAAAAAAGATGACGAAATCAATTTTCGAAAACGTTACTTACATAAAATTATGA